TACTTGAAAGAGAAAGTGAGCGAGAGAGAGAGAGATCGAGACCAACCTTTCCTCTCCTGGTTCACTCCCCAAGTGCTCATGATAGCCAGGGCTGGGCTGGGCTGGGCCAAAGCCAGGAGCCTGAATTCCATACAGGTTTCCTACATGGGTACTAAGGGCCCAAGCACTTGAGCCATCATCTGCTACCTCCAAAGATGCATCAGAGGAAGCTGGACTGGAAGTGCGGGTGCCAGGACCTGACCAGCACTCCAGCGTGGGAGGCAGGCATCCCAAGCAGTCATCTAACCCACTGCGGCACCACAACCGCCCGTGAATGAAACTGTCCGATATATGCAATAACTCAGATGAATGTCAATGTTATCACAATGTGAGAAAAAAGGCAATCTCAAAAAGATTCTGTACAATTCCATACATATGTCATTTCTGAAATGAACACCTTAGTGATGATCCACAGGGTTAAGGTCAGGGAGAGCGTTTCTCTAAAGAAGTATAGGAATCTTTTTTGGGGTTGCTGCTATGACATAGTGGGTAAAGCCACCACCTGCAGTGCTGGCATCCCATATGGGCACCAGTTCGAGTCCTGGCTGCTCCTCTTCTGATCCAATTCTCTGCTATGACCTGGGAAAGCAGTAGAAGATGGCCCAAGTCCTTGGGCCCCTGCACCCGCGTGGGAGACCCAGAAGCTCCTGGCTCCTGGTTTCGGATCAGCACAGCTCCGGCCATTGCAGCCAACTGATCTCTCTGCCTCTGCCTCTGTAATTGTAATTTGAAATTGCATTTCAAATAATAAATAAATCTTAAAAAAAAAAACCTGGTGAACTCTGCACAAGATCTATAATTTAGTTAATATTATTGTACTAGTATCAATTTCCAGGTTTGGTCAACTTAGTATAATTACACAAGACGCTATCTTGGGGGAAGCCAAATGAAAAGAACCCAAGAATTCTCTATTACTTCTGTAGCTTCTTGTGAGTTTTTAATTACTTTAGAATAAAAAGCTAAATTTTTAATGTAAATTTGGGGGACTGCACTTTATCCAAATGAAGTATTTTATTAGGGCTTATGGATTTTGTAAAATCACTTGTGACACTTGCTTACAAAAACCCGTAACCCAAATGAGAACATACTTTGTTTGGGGAGGGAGGACAGGACAATTGCTTTTTGGTAGGTGCCTAGAAGCCTAAAACTCGTGCAAATTTTACTTAATTTCTTAACCTGGCAGCAACCAAGAATATCCTAATTCTAAAGTATGTGAGAAATCTAGTTCATAGTCTTCCAGACCAACAGAATCAAAGGTAGAAGGGTATGTCAAAAGTTTCACCTGCCATGTAGAAATCTGCCAGAGATCTAGTTAGAAGCTACTTGGACATAAAGGATTTCCAGGCAAAATGTCCAAGGAATTTCTGTATTTTCCACCAGTATTACTTCTCCTTGAGAAAATATCAGTAAGCTAAAACAATCATTGGCTATGGTAATTAAAGGATATTTTAGGTGCAGGCATTACGGTACAACAGATTAATCTGCCTCTTAGGATGCTTGCATCCCATAAAAAACTGCCTAGGATCAAGTCCTACCTCTGCTTCTAAACCAGCTTCCTACTAACACACCTTCAGGGCAGCAGCTGATGGCTCAAGTATTGGGTTCCTGCCATCACGTGGGAGACCTGAATAGAGTTTCCGCATCCTTGCTTCAGCCAGGTCCAGCCCCAGTGATGTGGGCATTTGTGAAGTAAACCAGCAGATGCGGGACCTCCTTCTCTCTGCCCTTAAAAAAACCTATGTCATAGAAGATCTCAACTGAGTCTCAATACAGTGATCTTAGCCTGTGGCTCTTTAAAGAGGAAAAGTGAATGGTAGTCAGAACCATTTTGGGGCAACAAGTACAAACTTTTTCTGACCTGGGCAAACTGGAACTTAGGGCCCCCCTATATATATGTGTCATCTTTTGCTGCATAACAACCTATCTCAAAGCTTAATGAGCTAAAACAATATTCATTCCCTCACTTTTTGTGAGTCAGGAATTCCAGAGTGACTTGGCTGGGTCTGAGCAGCTGAGGATCTCTCCTGGGATTGCAGTTACGGGCTGAAGTCGTTTCAAGACTCCACTAGGGGAGAATCTGCTTGCAAGCTCACTCCCGTGGTTTCTGGACCAAGCTGGGGTTTGACTGGAGACATGTTACTTGCCACATGTTTCTGTTCATGTGGCAGCTCCCAACATAGCAGATGGCTTCCCTTCAGGGGACCCCCCCTTTTTTTTTGGCCAAGGGCTATTTAGATATTTAGGACAACATCTGCAGGCCATACCAAATTACCTACTCAAAAATTAGTCTGCTATAGATTCATAGAATTTCAAGTTTTGCCTGCAGTGCCTTAGCTGAGCAAGAACAAATGTTTTCGAAGGCTTTCTATGGCCTGTGGGCTGGTCACTTTCCACCCCTGCCTTACATGGAAACAGGGTAGAACTGGAAACTACAGTGTTTTCATAGCCAAGGCCAGGAAATCACATCCCATTACTTCTGCTGTTTATTCATTACAAGGGAATCTACAAATCCAGGCCACACTCATGGGGAGATTATACCAGGGCAGGAAGGCCAGGATGTAAGGATCACTGGAGAACATCTTTAGAAGTTGCCTACTACACTATCAAACAATTTATCCATAGCTCATAGACAACTGACTTGGACTCCTATTAAAGAATTCATTTTAAAAGAATGGAAGTGGCCCGGCTGCCCCTCTTCCAGGCCAGCTCTCTGCTGTGGCCAGGGAGTGCAGTGGAGGAAGGCCCAAGTCCTTGGGCCCTGCACCCCATGGGAGACCAGGAGCAGTACCTGGCTCCTGCCATCAGATCAGCGTGGTGTGCCAGCTGCAGCGCGCCGGCCATCGGAGGGTGAACCAACGGCAAAGAAAGACCTTTCTCTCTGTCTCTCTCTCTCTCACTGTCCACTCTGCCTGTCAAAAAAAAAAAAAAAAGAATGGAAGTGGGGCTGGTGCTATGGCGTGGCAGGTATAGCCACTGCCTGCAGTGCACGCATCCCATATGGGCACTGGTTCCAGTCCTTGCTGTTCCACTCCTGATCCAGCTCTCTGCTGTGGCCTGGGAAAGCAGTAGAAGATGGCTCAAGTCCTTAGGTCCCTGCACCCGCGTGGGAGACTTGGAAGAAGCTCCCGGCTCTTGATTGGCACAGCTCCGGCTGTTGCGGCCATCTGGGGAGTGAACCAGCAGATGGAAGACCTCTTTCTCTGCTTCTCCTTCTCTCTGTGTGTACTCTCACTTTCAAATAAATACATAACTCTTTAAAAAAAAAAAGACTGGTAGTTATAGGTATAAAAGAAAAAGACCAATTAACTCAACTCTGTATCTGCTGGTAGGCTGAAGAAGTTATAAGAGCTTCTGTCAGTCACGATTTGCTAGCACATACTTTGCTGGTAACTCAGAAACCCCAGAAGTTTGAAGATTTATTTCTCACTACTGTTGTATACATACCAGAAGCTCACTGGGGATTCTGTTCTATCAATTGTATTCTGGGATCCAGGCAGATAGATAGATGTTACTGGTCTCCACAGAAGGGGAAAGAAAACTCTGGAAGACAGTGGTATACAGCTTTTCCACTCACAACTGGTCATGTAGCCCTGCCCATGAGGGCAACAAGGCTAGGAAGTATAGTCGTAACGTGCACTACAGAGGCACAAATACCTCAATACGAAGGACTTCCACAATCCACTCCTCTGTCAGCAAATATTCAATCTACTCTTGCATCTACAGAAAATACTACTCTCTAAAATGTTCATCACTTAAAAAGTGATAAAATCATTGTTAGGAAGGTTGTGGGGCAATTTGAACTTTCACATACTGCTGGAAAGAACATACAATTGTATAATGAATTTCTTGGCAATACATTAAAATTTTGGCAGTGCCCATTCTGTTTTGTCTGTTGCATTTTAAAAATGTTTAGTTCCAAGAATTTTAATCACAAATTATTATTCATACAGCAGGTTGTTTTTACTGTATCAGTACAACACAATTTTATACTTAAATATATAGTTGTAAAACTCCATATTCTTTCATTCAATTTTTTTTGTAAGTTATTTTGTCTGCCTACTTGGTCCCTCCAAGTTTCTCTTCATTTCTTGTGTCCAGTGACGGATACTTAATTTTTTTTTCCTATATAGGACTGGATTAAGTTCGATTACTAAATGGCATTTCCTTTGGGGATTGTGAAGGTCTGGTTATGGGGACCAGTGAGTAGACAACCAGAGATAACTCCTTCCAGTGTAAACTGGTGATGAACACGCCAGCAAGCTGAATCCCCTGGAATCAGGGATGTTATGAAGAATGGGGAAATGTTTGGTCCCTCACAAGCAAACAGCAGAAAATGGGCCAGTAAGAACATTCTTTATCCAGCTCCTATAAGCAGGATCTGCAATGAAATCCCAAGCTGTATGTATACGGGTAGGGGCCCTTTCTGCTATTTAATTTGTCACATCAGTGTTCAGAGCTAAGGGCATATAATTAAAGACTGCCAGCCTCACAAACTTTACCTGGATCCTGAAATCTATCAGCATGCACATATTTGTTGAATGAATGATACTACCTGGGACTAAGTTCTAAAACTAGGAGTCCTGTGTACGCTAATTAGAATTTTTTTTAAAAATTCCACCCGTGGCCGGTGCCGTGGCTCAATAGGCTAATCCTCCACCTTGCGGCGCCGGCACACCGGGTTCTAGTCCCGGTCGGGGCGCCGGATTCTGTCCTGGTTGCCCCTCTTCCAGGCCAGCTCTCTGCTATGGCCAGGGAGTGCAGTGGAGGATGGCCCAGGTGCTTGGGCCCTGCACCCCATGGGAGACCAGGAAAAGCACCTGGATCCTGGCTCCTGCCATCGGATCAGCGCGGTGCGCCGGCTGCAGCGGCGGCCATTAGAGGGTGAACCAACGGCAAAGGAAGACCTTTCTCTCTCTCTCTCTCTCACTGTCCACTCTGCCTGTAAAAAATTAAAAAAAAAAAAAAATTCCACCCGTAAGAATGTAGATGGGCAGTCAACAGTAACCACTGTAATCTATCAAATATAATAAATTCCAGTTGTAAAAGCTCACCTTTCAAAGTAAACCTAAAATATAACCAGATACTATGTGCCTCTTAAAGGACAATCCCAACACCTAAGAAGAAATTTTCGCCAAATAATAAAAGAAGGAAAATAAAATCTGAATCAAAACAAAGAGAAACAGGTTAACGTACACCACATGATGACATCAGCTAGATCTGTCAAAAATGCTTGAGAACAAACAATTCCATTTCAAAACACAAACTGCAAAAGGTGAAGAAAGGGGGAAAAAAGATTTAGAGGATAAGCATAAGGGAATGTGTACATTTAAAAGTAGTTAAGGGGGCAGCGCTGTGGCACAGCGGGTAAGGCCACCGCCTGCAGTGCTGGCATCCCATATGGGTGCCGGTTCGAGTCGCGGCTGCTCCACTTCCAGCTCTCTGCTATGGCCTGGGAAAGCAGTAGAAGATGGCCCGAGTCTTTGGGCCCCTGAACCAATGTGGGAGACCCAGAAGAAGCTCCTGGCTCCAGATCAGCGCTGGGGCGTGAACCAGCGGATGGAAGACCTATTTCTCTCTGCCTCTCCTTCTCTCTCTGTGTAACTATGACTTTCAAATAAAAACAAATAAATCTTTAAAAAAAAAAAGGTACCTAAGAGATAGCGATCAATCACAATATGAGGTCTTTATTTGGAGATTGATTCAGATAAACCAATTAAAACACCCATTTATGACATTTGAGACAATGGAAATTGGAATATTTACTAATTCGATGATGTGAAGAAATTATTAATTAAAAAAATATGTGTGACAATCATATTGTGGTTATATCTTCTAAAAGTACCTATTTTCTAGAAATAGAAAAGAATAAAGAAAACTTTATGACTTTAAAAAAAGTCCAAAAAGAATAAAACACAAGTAAGTTTTAGGCCATTCTTGACACCTGTCAACATGTTAGGCTATAATCAGCCCTCTTGCCAAGTCTACCATGTTATAGCAAAATTAAGACAGTAAACAGCATAACCATGGGAGTCAGTTAAACTGGGAGATATTTACCTCCCCTGCAGGCAGAAGCGTGCCCAGTGGATGCTGCAATTTAATGACGCACTTTCAATCCAAGAAGGTCCTATTTAAATTTGTTCTTCAAAGAAAATCACCGTTTTTGTTTCCTAGAACCTGATTCTGAATTTAACTATGTGCAGAAAAAGCACTGAACTTAGTTTGCCAGATATACATCTCCTAGGTGCAAGCCTGCAAAGAATAAAGGTCATCAGCTCTGCCCTTGCCTGGTGTACACCTTTGACAAGTCACTTTCAACTTTCTGTACACAGATGCTTGTCCACAAAATGGGGCTAATGATAGCTGTGTCTTCGAGTTGTCAGTAGGTTCAATGAATACTCGTAAAAATGTACGAGTGACGAGTATAAAGAAAATATTCATTAAATGTTGGAGATATATATAGTATCTGAATCTAAAGGTGAAAAGACTGAGTTGATCACATTAAACATTTTCTCCAAAGAAAATAACAGCAGTATAGAGAACAGAACAAAGTCTTTAAACATTCTCACATGTAGGATATAAGAATTAGCATTCAGGATGCTAAAATTGAACATAAGACAAAAGTTACAGGAAAAAAAAAAACAGTCATTAGATTCTTAATTTGGAAAATTCCCCATTTAGTAGGATAAAATGTTTTTTAAAAAACCAAGCAAAACAAAATTTGTCCTTAGTGCTTATAGTTCTCATTACCAAAAAAAATTAAAATATGTCTGTTTTAGTAAAGATACACAATAAGAACATCTGGAAATAACTGATTCTTAAACACACAGAAGTCAGACAAATGTAAAAAGTAAAGCAAAAGGAACTGTTTTTCTGATCATAAAATATTTATTAAGGTATACTTTAGGGAATATAGTGAATATAAAATTTAGGATCACAATATGAAGCGATTTCAATCCTCTCAAAAGTCAGCACAGCCCTCAATACTCTGTAAATGTAAAATCACTGGTGAGACTCACTAAAAACAGTTTGACTAGTACAGAAGTGGCTTTTCATGGACATTCACAACTAGAGCGTCTGATACCTCTTTTAAGTGCAAAACCACACCACATGACACTAATGCAGCAACAATGCATTCATATTGTTCTCATTAGTCATTAGTAGTCAACTTGCATAAAACACCAGAAAAAAGCACAATGGGGCTCACAAAACAGGCTAAAAAATGAACCTGTCCTTGCAAAACACTCACTGTAATGGAAGAAGAACATGAAAAAAATTATGCATACTACAGAAGCTGCATTCAGTCCAAGTAACTCGTGTCATCTTCTTTTCGGTAAAATCAAATTACAATAACCAGGCACAACTAATATTGGGGAGGCAGTGTGTAGCTAAAATTTCATTTAACTATTCAATGATTTTTAAAATCCCCACAAATCTTTTCTGTCCTGAGGTAGTTGCAAAATAAATCATAACTTGGATATCAACTAGAGCTGAGGCTTCTGACGTTTTATTCATTGAAACTAGTTGTTACTGACAGGAACTACCTTTCGATATTTAAAAGACAGTTGAGAAATGGGCCTCTCACTACACACAGATGATGGCTACCTGGGGAAGAGGATTAGCTGCTTCAGAACGGGAGAGATATGGTCCATCACTGCTTCCACCCTCTACACCCATTTTAGATTCTTTATTGTTCAAAAAGCCACCAGAACAACACGGTAGAAGTACACAGATCATCGTCCTTTGCTGTAGCCAGGGAAGAAAAGGTCAAGTAGATTCTGCAGAACCTCGTTGGGAACCATGATGTAATTCGGGCCCAGATCATGCCGGCAAGCAGGGCAGGAGAAAACCTGGGCCTTAAAGGAGCGCTGCAAGCAATCCTATGGAAAACAAAAACAAACAAACCAAACATACCCAATTTCATCTGAGCATAAAGTACATAGAGAAGTACTCAACAACTTATGCTTTTACATGGAAACTACAGACTTACTGTTCGGTAACAAGAGAAATTGAACAAAACGAACACCTGTCAAGGCCTGAATCTGCACTATGGAAAAGTCCAGTTATAGTGTTGGTTCATCTCTGGCACACTCTGTGAGACTTCAGGGAAATGATTTAACAGGTTTTGTGTGTGTGTGTGTGTGTGTGTGTGTGTGTGTGTTTTTAACAGTTTTGCAACTTCAATTTCCTCATCTGGTAAAATGAAAGTGTTAAAGATTTATGTATGGTTCCCACTAGCCTAATCTTTTAGGTTACATTTGAATTCTGTTCTTTCCTGGAAGAACCCTAAAGGAAAAAAAAATGCAGCATTTCTTTGCTTAGAACCAAGCTATATATTTTATCAAGACACAAAACATGAGTCTTTAAAAATATATTTAGCTGGGGCCGGCGCTGTGGTATAGCGGGTTAAGCTGCGGACTGCAGTGCCAGCATCCCACATGGGCACCAGTTTGAGACCTGGCTGCTCCACTTCCAATCCAGCTCTCTGCTATGGCCTGGGAAAGCAGTAGAAGACGGCCCAAGTCCTTGGGCCCCTGCACCTGCATGGGAGACCTGGTTGAAGCTCCTGGCTCCTGGCTTTGGATCGGTGCAGCTCTGATGATTGCAGCCAATTGGGGAGTGAACCAGTGGATGAAGACCTCTCTCTCTCTGCCTCTCCTCTGTCTGTATAACTCTGACTTTCAAATAAATAAATAAATCTTAAAATATATATGTATATATATTTAGCTGTACTAAATATATTATATAGAGTTAACTGATGCAAATTCAGGCATAAACATCTAGGATGATTTTTTCCATTTTACAAAAGAAACTAAAGTTCTGAAGTTAGGTCAGGGCATATAAGCACCAATTGGTAGAACAAGATTGCAACCTTGGCTTGACTAAAACTCAGATTTTCCTTTTATACCACACTTCACCTTTCACACAATATTTAATCTGGGCACACTTCCAGATATAATCTGTTTTTAGGTTTTTTTTATTAGTTTTATTATTCCAATTTGCACTATGATATATAAGATGTATATAAGTTTTTACATAGAAAAGAGCAATTCGTTTCTTCTTCATTTCTTTTTTTTACTTGATAGAGTTAGACAGTGAGAGAGAGAGAAAGAGAGAGAGAGAGAGAGAGAGAGAGAGAGAGAGAGAGAGAAAGGTCTTCCGTCTGTTGGTTCACTCCTCAAATGGCTGCCACGGCCAGAGCTATGCTGATCTGAAGCCAGGAGCCAGGTGCTTCTCCTGGTCTCCCATGGGGTGCAGGGCCCAAGCACTTGGGCCGTCCTCCACTGCCTTCCCGGGCCACAGCAGAGAGCTGGACTGGAAGAGGAGCAACTGGGGACTTGGGGACTTGGACCCGGCACCCATATGGGATTCGGACGCCACAGGCGGAGGATTAACCAAGTGAGCCACGGTGCCGGCCCCAGTTTCTCCTTCATTTCAATCCTTCCTCAATAATTCCAAACATGATAGATTGTCTCAAATGATATATATTTGAATGACTATTACTATTAAATTAAAGCATGCACTTACCATCCAGATGTAAATGCCCTTTAACTAGCAACATTACCTAACTATTCTGCTTCATGGAAAAATCCTTCATTACATGCTAAAAACTGATATTGAGGTTGGTGTGCCTTTTGACTCGAGGGAAAGTGGGAGAGAAAGCTACTTACTTTACAGACATTGTGGAAGCACTCTGTTGTCACAGGCTGGTAAACTAGCTCCTGGCAGCAGACACACATAAAACATTGTTCTAATTTTTTCAGAAAATTCTAGAATGGTATCGAAGAGGAAGGAAAAATGGTTAGCAGCTCGTTATATACTATGAATTCTACAGGAAAAAAGTATCGCAGTCACCTTTTAATTTGTTTTCTATTAAGAAAATCAAGCAAACTTACATAACAAACTGAAAAAAATCCTATCAAAGTCCCTCTAAATCTCATATTCCAGGGATAAATTATTTTTCATTAAAAAAAAAAAAAACAACCATGGGCAGCTAATCTGAGGATCATTACATACTGATCTTTCTTCAAAAAGCTGCACTGCACAGAAAGGTGTTATTCTGATCAATCTTTTGTTATTACAAAATCTGAATTATTTTTAAAGCTCTAAAAATAAAGCAGTAGACAATAATACTCTGTAATATCTAATACCACAAAAAAAACAAATACTTATTTTTCTAGGATTATTTTCTGTAATATTTTACCCCAACCCAAAAATTTACTTGAAGAGGGATAAAACTATCACAGATAAAGTGAACATCTTTAAGCAAATGTGATCACATGATACTCTGTGCTCTTCAAAACCCATTATTGATTCTGTTTTACCCTGGCTGCTTTTTTTATTTTAAACTAGAATAAAAAATAGGTTTTTAAATATATATAAAAGAATAATTATTCATTCATTTATTTTTGTAGTGAGGAAATATCTTTATGTTTGTTCCCAATATTAATAAAACTAGAATTTAGGGCCGGCGCCGCGGCTCACTAGGCTAATCCTCCACCTAGCGGCGCCGGCACACCGGGTTCTAGTCCCGGTCGGGGCAGTGGATTCTGTCCCAGTTGCCCCTCTTCCAGGCCAGCTCTCTGCTGTGGCCAGGGAGTGCAGTGGAGGATGGCCCCAGTGCTTGGGCCCTGCACCCCATGGGAGACCAGGATAAGTACCTGGCTCCTGCCATCGGATCAGCGCGGTGCGCCGGCCGCAGCGCGTCAGCCGTGGCGGCCCTTGGAGGGTGAACCAACGGCAAAGGAGGACCTTTCTCTCTGTCTCTCTCTCCTCACTGTCCACTCTGCCTGTCCAAAAAAAATAAAAAAATAATAAAATTAGAATTTATAAGAATTACAAAGAAAATCAAATGTCACACTTCAAAAGATGTCATTATACTAGCTGAAATATGAACATGCATTATGAAAGTCAAGTGAATTGTAAACACTATTATATAAAACATTCAAAGAATATACCACTTAGGGGAAGATGTTGGAAAAACAAAAATTTTTTCAGGCACCATCTCACTGACAAATTTCTTGATTTCTTGTTTTTTTTTTTTAAAGATTCATTTGTATATTTTAAAGGCAGAGAGAGACAGAGATCTTCCGTTCACTGACTACATCAGCCAGAAACTCCATCCAGGTTTCCCACATTGATGGCAGGGACCAAATAACTGAGCCATCCTCTGCCGTTTTCCCAAGTGCATTAGCAGGCAAGCTGGGTTGGAAGCAGAGCAACCAGGACTCAGACCAGCCCTTCTGCTTGGGATACTGGCATTCCAAGCTATGTCTTAACCCACTGTGGCACACTGTCAGCCTTTAAGTTATTTTCTTAATGAATAATTCCCCTAGTGCCTATAATTTGGGTACATGGTATCTATAATATGAGCATATGTAAAATAGGTGTTCTCAGTTCCTACAATGTTCTAGGCACTAATCTATACAGAGGTAACATAAAAGCAAACTCTCTGCTCACAGAACTTATATTTTTACAAGAGAACATATAAAATATAACAACTGTAAGACATAATAAATTCAAGAAGTAGATTAAAGAGTGGCTACTTAAAAAGAGTATATGGAAAGGCTTCTTTGAATAATTTAATATTTGTGCAGACTTAAAAGGATCTGACGGAGTGAGCTACATGGTGATGGAGATGGTCAGAGATACTACATGTTTAGTAAAGGCCCAGGGACCAGAACAAGCTGATTATATTTAAGTAGCACAACTGTAGCCGAAGCAGTCTGAAAGACAAGCAAGAGGAGACTACCAAGGTAGGTAGGGCTGTTATTCATACAGGGCTCAGAAAGGAGTTTAGATAAAATGTGTGTGTGTGTGTGTGTGTGTGTGTGTGCGCGCGTGTACATACTTGTATACAGAAAATGGAATTTTTAAAGTTTTGGATATTATAAATTTTTTTAAATGCAGCTTTTTTGTAAAACAGCATTTTCTGTGAACATTTCTTCACAAGTCACCATTGAGGGTAGGTATTTGGCCTAGATGTTAAGCCAACAGTTGGTACATCCACCGCTGTATCAGAGTGCCTGGGTCCAAGTTCCGGTCTCCCATGCGGATGCAGGGGCCCAAGGACTTGGGCCATACTCTAACTGCTTTCTCAGGCCATAGCAGAGAGCTGGATCGGAAGTGGGGCAGCCAGGACTAGAACTGGCGCTCATATGGGATGCCGGCGCCGCAGGCGGAGGATTAACCTACTCCACCGGCCCCCAATTTGGGGGATTTGATAAGAAAGCTCAATCCATAAAATACAGCTTACCATACTCACACATAAATTAGCCTTGCAATTCTTTTCAATTTATGACTTAAAATTTATGATATTAAACTGTTCTAATTTCCCAAAATGGAAAAAATGGTTCAAAAAATATAAAGGACTGGTGTTGGCCTAATGGGTTATGCTACTGCTTAGTGCCAGTTCGAGTCTAAGCTGCTCCATTTCTGATCCAGCTTCTTGCTAATACACCTGGGAAAGCTTCAAAAGATGACCTAAGCGCTTGGGCCACAGCCACTCACATGGGATTTCCAGGCTCACAGCTGCTGTGCCATTTGGGTAGTGAACCAGTGGACGGAAGATCTTTTTCACTCTGTGTCTTTCCCTGTCACCCTGGCTTTCAAATAAATGAATAAATGAATATTTCAAATATATGTTATAGAATATTTAGATAAATTAATATTGTCATATTTTACCCATGAGTTGAACATAGAGGTTTTCAAAATTGTGCGAAATTGCTTAAGACTTATGCTATGGGGTGGGCGTCTGGTCTGCTGATTAAGATGCTAGTTGGGCAGCCAGCATCCCACATCAGAGCACGTGGGTTCCAGGCCCAACTCTGCCCTCAGTTGTAGCTTCCTGCTAATGTATTCCCTGGGAAGGTGGCACCCAAACAGGAGACATGGATTGAGTTCCTCACTTTTGCCATTTGGGAAGTGAACCAGTGGATAGGAGCTCTGTCTCTTTCTCTCTGCTTTTCAAATAAATAAATAAATTCAATAATTAAAAAAGCCTTATGATATTAGGTAACTATTACAGAAATATTTCTGGTGAGTTTTAGTTCCAGTTGATTGCATGTTTCACAATCAAAAATTCTTACCAGGAATAATACATCAACATAAATAATTAAGTTCAGACATAGAAAAGTAAAAAAACCAGCACCTAAGAAGTTTAAAATAAATTCAAGAACATTTAAATATATTACATCCGGCCGGCGCCGCGGCTCACTAGGCTAATCCTCCGCCTAGCGGCGCCGGCTCACCGGGTTCTAGTCCCGGTAGGGGCTCCGGATTCTGTCCCGGTTGCCCCTCTTCCAGGCCAGCCCTCTGCTGTGGCCAGGGAGTGCAGTGGAGGATGGCCCGGGTGCTTGGGCCCTGCACCCCATGGGAGACCAGGAAAAAGCACCTGGCTCCTGGCTCCTGCCATCGGATCAGCGCGGTGCGCCGGCCGCAGCGCGCCAACCGCGGCGGCCATTGGAGGGTGAACCAACGGCAAAGGAAGACCTTTCTCTCTGTCTCTCTCTCTCTCACTGTCCACTCTGCCTGTCAAAAAAAAAAAAAAAAATATATATTACATCCAATTATTTCTGAAAGGTGACAGCACTGAGTGAGAATACTGGAGAGAAGGATCAAGCCTCGACTGACTTGTGTTTGAAAAACCACACTTCATAAGGAAATTACTTTCACTACTTGTTAATATTACAATCATATTATTTTTCAAAACCTGTACATACTGGTCCTTCCACAAGAGACGCCAGTACTTCATCCCACAACTTCTGATTCTGACCATCTTCTCTGATTAGATGTTGCTGCTGAGGAGTTAGCTGGAAAGCCTCAACTGCTTCTGCTGAATCGGATGCTTTGAACACTTTGGAGGAGGCACTTGGAGATTCATCTAGATTTATTTAAAAATATATTAGCAGACTTATAAGTGGTTCTAAACAGCACTATGAAACAAGAGTTAACCCCACCAGGAATGTTTAGCAGAAGATAACCTACACAAAGTAGCGTCCAAGTTTCCCTCGGAATTTAGGATACTATATTTGCTGTTCTGATGCTCCACTTCATCCCTCCCCAAAAAGCTCCTTTGTTTTTCTTACGAGTCTCTCAATTTGTTCTCTTGATATTTCTATTTATTAGAATGTATATTACTAGGATTTATATTCTTCAATCATTACCTACCATCTGAAATTGGCCTTTTTGTGGTTTCAGTGGCCTGCTTCTTTGACTGTCCTTTAGTCTTCTTCCCTTCTTTATCTGAAGGGTAACCTGCTGGATACTGGTGGGGGAGAGAAGACAATGTAGATTTAAGCTGTTAGAAGGGCAGGTTCTAGATCCCGATAAAAAAAATTTAAAAGTCATGGAGAGGACGAATCTATACATTCCCAAGTTGAAAGACTTCACACAAAGGGAATAGACATTTAAAGAAAAAAGAATTCAAAGGAATAAAGACACAAGTAATATTCCAAATTCAGTGTAAAACCATGTAGCCTTGTCTGCTAAAAACATTACATTTTATAATGCAATAATCTTAGTTTCAGATCTAAGAAAAGAAAAATAAGTTTTCATGAGTGTGACTAAGTGGCTTGAAGCTTAAGAAAGAGAGATTCCAGATATGAAGGTAAGTGAGGATCAACCACAAAACACAACAGACTGTAATCAAACAGCTGGGATTACAGTTAATTGTGGAGTCAATCTAAAAAAAGAAAAAAATTAAGGGCCAAATTTCTCTTCTCACAAAATTAGGGGAGGAGGAAATTTTAGAAGACCCATAGCAGCCAAATTGTCTGCCACCTGAACGTAGACTTTAGAGTATAAATTCTACCTATTGCCCTTAGTTTTTAAAGGCTACCACTTGTTGGGGAGTAAAGAAATGTTTCATAATAATGCATGTGTTTAAAGCTCACTGTGCGGATGGACACTGTGGTATAGCACGTTAAACGACCACTTGGGATACCCACATCCCATATCAGCACCTGTTTGAGTCCTGGATACTTCACTTCTGATCCAGTGCCCTGCTAAAGTGCCTGGGAAGGCAGCAGATGATGGCCCAAGTACTCGGATCCCTGTCATTCACATGGGAGATCCAGATAGAGTTCCTGGCTCTTGGCTTTAGCCTGGCCCAGCAACTGTGGACATTTTAGGGAGTAACCCAGAGGATGGAAGATGGAAGATCTCCTCTCTTCCCCCCACCCCCGCCTCAAGTCAATCTTAAAAAAAAAAAAAAAAAAGTTCATTGTGCTTCACTTTCTCCACATGCAGAAGTATGAAACAAGACTCCTACCTTACACCTTACACAAAAATCCACTCAAAGTGGATTAAAGACAAGTCTACGACCCGATATCATCAAATTATTAGAGAACATTGGAGAAATTCTACAAGACATTGGCATAAGCAAAGAGTTCGTGGAAAAGACCCCAGATGCACAGGCAATCAAAGCCAACATTGACAAATGATATTAGATCAAATTGAGAAGCCTCTGCACTGCAAAAGAAACACTCAGCAAGAAAAGCCCATGAGAGCATTTCAGGCATGGAAAGCCAAGGCGCTGTGGCAAAAAATGTACTGTATGAAGGACCTCTGTGGGTGAGACCCAGTGGGAAGAAGTGGTCATCAAAAAAGGATGCACTTTTCTCTGAAGGGAGGAGAGAACTTCCACTTTGTCTAAATACTGACGGAGTTTATGGATTCAAAAGGCTTACATAGCCTAGGCAACTCATGTCAAGAGCCTTGAGTGATCACTGATGGAATACATGAATGTTAATTGTTAAATTAACAAGAGTCACTGTGCACTAACTTCCCATGCAGGACCTCTGTCCTTAGAGTTGTATTATAATTATGTCTAAGTTCTCCCAAAAGATCCATCATTCTTGGTGCTTCTTTAAAGTTAATTGTTTCTAAAAAAAAAAAAAAAAAAAACAAAAAAGTAAATTAACTTCAAGATGTAATGACTTTGAACAGCCCTTGTCTTGACTGTTGAGGAACAGTTTTTTTTTTTTTTGTGCATGTGTGTGTGTGCATGTGTGTGTGCAAATTGTTGAATTCAGTAAAAAGTTGGTCTTCTATGTATAAAGTTAATTGGAAATGGATCTTAGGGGAGAATGGGCCTGTGATTTGGAGAGGGAGGAGGAAGAGGGGTGGGAATGTGTGTGGGAGGGTGGGCATGGTGGAAAGAATCACTATAGCCCTAAAGCTGTACTTATGAAATGCATCAAGTTTGCATTCCTTAAATAGAAAGTGTCTTTGGGAATAAAAATTAAATAAAGAGGTTGCATAAGGTGAAGAAAAAGGGACATTCAGCAAAGTGAGGAGGCAACTGACAGAATGGGAGAAATTATTTGCAAACTGTGCAACTGATAAAGGATTAATAAACCAGAATATACAAAGAGATCAGAATCTCAACAACAACAAAACAAACAACCCAGTTTAGAATTAAGAAATGAGCAAAGAGGAATTCCAAATGGCCAACAGACACATGAAAAAATGTTCACAATCACAAGCCCTCAGGCAAATGCAAATCAAAACCACAATGAGGTTTCACCTCACCCCAGTTAGAATGGTTTTCATACAGAAATCAACAATGCTGGTGAGGATGTGCAGGAAAAGGTACCCTTATCCACTGTTGGTGGGAATGAAAACTGGTAAAACCAGTATGGAAGACAGTTTGGAGATACCTCAGAAATCTGAATATAGACCTACCATACCATATGACCCAGCCATTCTACTCTTGGGAATTTACCCAAGGGAAATGAAATCAGCATATGAAAGAGTCATATGTACCTCCATGTTCATTGCCATCAATTCAAAATAGCTATGATGTGGAATCAACCCAAATGTCCATCAACTGAAGACTGGATAAACAAATTATGGGATTATGTACAACATGGAATACTACACAGTGGTTAAAAAAAAAGAAATCCTGTTGTTTGCAAAACAGATAAAACTGGGAAACAACATACTCAGTGAAATAAACCAGTCTCAAAAGGACAAATGCCGTAAGTTCTCGCTGATTTGTGGTAACAGAGCACCTAAAAAGTAATCTATAAAAGTGAAGATGACACTTTGAGATGCAATGATTTTGAACAGCCCTTGTCTCAACTGTTGAGGAAGTTTTTTTTTGTTTTGTTTTGTTTTTTAAATATTTTATTTATTTGAGGGGTAGAGTTACAGATAGTGAGAGGGAGAGACAGAGAGAAAGGTCTTCCTTCCGTTGGCTCACTCCCCAATTGGCCAGAATGGCTGGAGTTGTGCCTATCCGAAGCCAGGAACCAGGTGCTTCTGCCTGGTCTCCCATGAGAGTGCTGGGGCTTTCCCAGGCAACAGCAGAGAGCTGGATTGGAAGAGGAGCAGCCAGGACTAGAAACAGTGCCCATATGGGATGCTGGCACTGTAGACTGAGGATTAACCTACTGTGCCACAGCGCCAGCCCCAGTAAGTTTTTTTTTTTTTTTTTTTTTTTTAATATTTATGTTTTATTTACCTGAAAGGCAGAATTACAGAGAAGCAGAGGAAGAAAGAGAAAGAGCAAAAGAGACAGAGAGAGGTCTTCCATCTGCTGGTTCACTCCCCTGGGCTGCAACAGCCAGAGCTTGACTGATCTGAAGCCAGGAGCCAGGAGCTTCTTCCGGGTCTCTCACATAGGTGCAGGGGCACAAGCAATTGGGCCATACTCTAACTGGTTTCCCAGGCAATAGCAGAGAGCTGGATCGGAAGTGGAGCAGCCAGGGTTTGAACTGGCACCCACACGGGATGCTGGCACTGCAGGTGGTGGCTTTACTTGCTATGCCACAGCACCGGCTCCAAGTTTTTGATTTTTGTTTTTCTCTTGTTGTTGTTGTTCAAACTATTTGCGGAACTCTTTACTTAGTACAGAATTAACTGTATGCGTATAAAGTTAACTGAAAATAGATCTTAGTAAAAAATAAGAATGGGAATAACAGAGGGAGGAGGAAGAGAGGTGGGAGTGGGAGGGTGGGTAGATGGGAAGAATTATTATGTTCCTAAAGTATTTATGGAATTCATGAAGTTTGTATTCTTTAAATAAAAGGTTTCTGGGGGAGAAAAAAAATGGATGTGACACTTTTTAAAAACATTTTTAGTTACAAAAGGAATTACTTTGGTGAGTATTCTACCAGCTGATGAATTTCATTGAGACAATCAATTCTATGAGTTTAAGAGGAAAACAAAAACAGAAACAGATTTGCACTAGAAGACACACACTCACCTGCCAGGGTGGTCAAAAACTTGCCCATAGTTCAGCCCCTACACATGCAGTGTGGGCAGAGCCAAGGGAAATGACAAAGCCAGCAGTTTTTATGGGAAGCACAATGAGGAACGATAGGGGATGAACTCAAACCATGCTCTGAAGTCAGTGTCAGGGCCACAGTCTGGGGTATACATGCAGTGAAGGGGGAATGCATCCAGACCATCCACTATGCACACAAAACCAACAAAGTCCCTTGTGGGCTAATAGCTGAGCAAGGGCAAAGGGGTAAAAAATACAAAGCACTAAAGGTGGTGGCAGGGCAGGAAAACAGCTTTGTGTGGGAAGAGAGAAAAGGGGTAAGAAAAAATGATAAGGGTAGAAAACAGACCACTCTTAGAAGCCACCTCCCCACCCTTCCCCTACCAAAGACAGACCCCCGTGTCCTCCAGGATGGACTTCCTTTCTTAAGGCCTTGTACACCTACGTTTTATGACTGCCTTTCTCTTATACTTCCAAGTCGTTTCCAAATCAAGTTGGCAATATTTTACATTATATTGACAAGTCCAGCTTTTCCCAAACACAACCCTTAGTCCTAGGACAGTCTGACACCTCAGATGCTACCATTTTCCTTCCCTTCCTTGTATTTACTTGCATGCTTTTATTCCTCTCTCCTTACTGATCAACTGTTGTAGGTCATATCGAGTGTTAAAGCATGTAGATAGTACAGAAGCACACATTTTTATGAATATATGAGTATCTTAGACAAATGTAATCTAACCTGTAGCCGCAGACATAATCTCCTTGACCGTTCAATTCCTTCTGAGGTCCAAGGAGCAGGTTCAACATCATCTCTTCTTAAAAGATAGCGCCAAACCAAGAATCCATGACTTGATGAAATCTCTGGCCAGTATTTCACCACCTAAGTCATAATATTTTAGCACTAATTTGAGGTTTAAAATTCAGACTTATTCACAAAGTCATCATATTAGTGTTTAAGTAAACTTGTCAGAACTAAATATAATTTCAGAAAACAGCTGCTTGGCTGTGAGAATAGTAAAAAAGCCAAAAATATTCATTAAAAGTTTTTATCCTATTACATATTAAGATAGTTCTTATGTAAGTATAGTTTGTTATAATTGTAATATAGCAACAAAATGATGCTCATTAACAGAATTTTGCATATTAGGTAGATTAAAATTGAGGCAGTAGATGCCCTCATTTTAAACAAAGAATGAGAATCTAATTTTAACATTACAACGTGTTCTGCTTTGAAAATCTATTATGATCATTAAAATTAAATTAATTCTGGAAAGGCATCTAAGAATCTAGATCCACAATGGTCAAGTTATTTTTAATGTTTTTATCATAAAGAATACACACTTGGAAAAAAAAATCTTAACCCAAAATATAACTCTGCCCTTAGGAATGTCAAATAAGCCTTTTAAAATAAGTATCAAAGTTATATCTGTTACATTTCCAGAAAAAGCAGAAATACCAAATAAGATGGCTTACTCTTTCTTTCAGCCCACCCACAGTAGTTCCCCCTCAGGCAACCCTGCCTTGAAAGCCCAGGAAGAGCGACCAACAAGATGTCATGCTAGATAGAGCACCTTATAAATGCCATCATATCTGTTGCCTTCTTCAGGAGCATATTTGCTGATCTTCCTCCCTTTAAAACTGCGTATCACTCTGACTGGCTTACCAGCTCTCCAATTCCGAGATTCTGCTCCAATTTTATCATCCAATGGAGCATCACAGTTTAGGGCCAATGCCCTACAAAAATAAAACAAAGTCTTTATACCAAGTAATCTTTCCTCAAGCACATAATCGAGTCATTAGCTTAATTAAAAGGTAAATTATGCCTTACCTGATTATTAAGAGTCTATGATTCTTTCCATATTATTCCAGATAATAGGATTATGCTTTCCCCCACCAGCAGAGAAGACAAATCAGTTTTCTGATGTCATCCCCAAGCCAGGGGATTGGTTCTCAGATAGCCTGTAGGGTTCTTCTGAAAGTAATAACATCTGTGCCACGTATAATAGAAAACAACTAGAAATACATGGAATTCTCTTTAAATAACGTTTGTTGAATGTTGGAAACTAAAGCAGGTGATTGTTTTAATAGTTATTTTGATTAGGGCGTGAACTAAGTCGCTGGAATAATGTAGAAAGAAATAGAAATATAAATTTGTCATCAAGGTACAAACGACCTCCTTAGGTCTACTTTCCATATTCCAGATGACAGAGATTCTTTAAGTTTAAAAAGGTATTAACAAGTGCAATATGAGTATATTCTTTAAAGGTCTCCATAAAAAGATAAATTTAAGTGAGACTGAAGCATCCAATGGCTGTGTTAAATCATGGCAATAAAGATTTTTGGCTGCTTGAAGGCACTACATTTTACTGATGACATAAAGACAAAAGAGGACTCAATTGGAAGCAGCACCTGCCTTAGCTGATACTTTTTTAGTATGTGTTCTCACACAGTAGTACTAATAGTAGTAATAAGTCACTGAGCTTATTAGATATTAGAAGATATTTCCTGGGAGAACCTAGTCCCACCCAAAATACTGGAACCTGTTTAAAATCAGTGCTTTCCTCTTAGACACTTAAACTTCCTAACTTGAGTGAAAAGAAAAATATTTTTCCAGGGTAAAGTTCTTTCTTATGCAAGCTCAAATTAAAAACCAAATCTTAAGACTATGTGATTAACCTACTGAAAAGAAAACTGTTAAGTATAGGCATCTTTTTAAAGTATTTGTTTTTTAAAATAACCTTTTAGTCAAGGTCAGAGTTAAAGATTAACAAGTTATCTTTTCTTTATCCAAAAGGGATATGCATTAAAAAAATAACTAGAAGGTAGAAGTCATCACTTTAGGGCTAGTATTACATCTTACTGTTAGAACTTCTATAGGACATACATATTTCATCGTAAAGGGCATGGATAAGTACTACCTTCATGTCACTGAATGGAATGCTTTGTGGCTCACTGGTGCCTTCAGTCATAATTATTGCCACCACTAATTTGCATTGTCAATTCACTTCTGGCATCTCAAAAGCATATCGGCTATTCAGCCATATGAAAAAAGTCCAAGAGGATGAAATTTGGCGAAAAAGCAACCAAGCTCTTCCATCATTCCAGCTGTAGCTAACTGTCCTGATAAAGCATGGCCATACTACCTTGCTGCCCTCTTCAGTTTTTTAAATAAGTGGAAGAAGCAAGAAGATAATGAGCTTCCTCTTAGCAGAGAAGCAAAACTGACATGAACCATACACTGTTTGGGTATACTTACTTTGAGAGCATATATTCTATGGGTCTGAGCTAATAGGGGCCCTTCATTTCAATTTTTATGTTCATAATACATACATATCTTTGCCCCAGAGGTCTTCTAGTTATGAGGAATATTCACAGCTTAATATATAGTCTCTGACTGGATGTAACAGTATCTAAGTTAAGTCAATCCCAAATTGTTTTAATGTTTCATTTTCAAACCCTCCTTTAAATAGCAAACATTTTTATTGCTCATCAGTTATTTTTTAAAGAGACTGTCACAGTATTTATTAGATCACTCAAAGGTTGAAGGAATCTGTCTACTATGTATATCACAAAAGTGGACAGTTAATAAAGGAAGTTTCGTTCAAGTAAAATAACATATTAAATGGAAATAAAATTCTCTAATTTGACAATTGAAAAAGGCCTTTTGCAAATTCAAGACATATTTTTATTGACAAAATGCATCACAATATTATTAGATGTCTTTTGAGATTATTCCTGTAGAAGAGCTGCTTTGTTGTCAGAAAAAGAATAGCAAGGGACTAGGCTTTTGTCTCAGGAATGTTTTCACCAGCAAATCTGACCTGTCTCCTCTGCTGGTTCAGTAAAATAATCCTACTGTCAGAAATAATATAGAAGACATAAAAACAAAGATTCTTTATAACTTGGTATGCAATAAAGTCTTGAAATCATATTGGTATATTCTTGACTTCACACAGTAATAAGAGAAATTAAAGGGACACTACTTAAACCCGAGTCAGTTAGACTCCAAGTAAAAAGAGACTCATTTTTACTCAATCCACAAAATACTCTTAATGGAATATAAAAATTTTTTAACTTTATGAAGTGATCATAAAAGTTCATTATGGCAAATTTATGGTATCTGATGGTTTGGGGTTACTATCTATTATTAATATTAGTATTAGCATATATTTATGAAATAAAACATTTTTAAATTATTAAATTTTCTGGTCCCAAGAGAGCTGAGATATCATTAATACTTCTACAGAAAGAAGGTCATACAGGTGGCTCTTTTTTAATTCCTTTAAGGGGATTTAGTTAGAAAAGATCATTTTCGTAACTAAATTAAATATTCCCTTTTAAAACACTTACAAGATATCTTATTGGAATAGATCCTAAAGTACCTTGAATGCAGATCTAATTAAATGATCTGGTAGTTCATTTGTGTACAAACATATGGCTCCCAAACATGACATTATTTCACATCACTCAGTCTCCTCTAAAATGAGGTTTGTTACTTTGAAAGATCAATCTGTATTGAACAGAACATTACTTCAGCTTTTAATTATGAAATACTTACTAGGCAAGCCACCTTGTCGTCAGTTTCACTTAGGTTATATAGGCTCTTTTCCTTCAAAGGTGTCAACATGTTTTCAAATGCATCACACACGTTATTAGGTAAGAATAGGAATTCATGTCATTTAAAAAACAATGGTATAAAGAAATAAGTTTGGATGCTTACAATTACATTACCAGGCAATGGAATCTAAATTTTTGGTCTTTAACTTCCTATTTAGGATTCTCCTCTGCAGTCTAAATTACAAATTACAGTTCTATAATCAAACTTTCATATAATATCCAAATTCTAAACAGTGTTTACAAAAGTACCTGTTCATATTTGTTAATGTTTGATCAGCTGATGGTGCACCAATTCTTTTATTACCAGCAAGATTTTTACCACCACTTCCAGTGTATGTGAACTCATCACCTCGGTCCTATAGGAAAAGATTTATGTATTAAGATACAGAAATTTGTGTAATTCCAACAATTCTTATTTTAGAGGCAGAACATTAATTATGATATTCTGACATGATATGTTCTTACTGTATCTACCAAAATAATGCAAAAATTCAAATGCAATCTTGTGTGCAGTATATCCTCAAATTATATAACTTGACCTAAAATGTTCACTTTATAGTTTCCAACATCTCTAAATACAATTATTCTCATGCTAAATATGTAATTTATAGAATATTACAGAGCCTCTGGAGTTAGAAACATTATATTCCATTTAATCCATTGCTAATTAAAATAAGCTTAATACTAATTATAGGTTATTTATAGGTAGCACTGCTTTGATAAATACTCCACAACTGAATCCCCTACTGTAATCAATACCATACCTAAGTTTGCTGCCCAGTAATCAAATTCTGACATTGACATTATGTAAATTTCACAATCCAAGTTTACCTAAAAAATCTTATATTAAATCCTAACAGTATAGTAAATTCCCTATCTTTCACACTCTATGGGTTCATTCATGTTGTTTTTAGGCAGAATAATCACTATTCAAAAGAAGTTTGGAAAATAATTTGAAAACTAAAAGGAATATAAAATATTTATTAAATCTGAAAAGAAAAGTGCAAAAGAGACACTACAAAAACTAGCTCCACAATTATTTCTGTAGTAGCTACAAATTTATATAGACATTATTAAATCTCTAGCTGATTCAGTACTCAAGATAAATACAGAAAAATAATAAAAGCAAAATAGTGGTTCTTCTTTCATGCAAGATCATTTTAATTAGTTTAGACTGAACTTAGACAATGAAGCTTTCTCCAATAAATTCATGCTTGCTATAAAGGTCAATTATTTAATACCTTCTTCCTTTGGATAAAAGCCGTAATTAAAAATCTTGTGCTTTAAGTTTGAATTTGTCCAAAAATTTCAAGCTAACTTTTTGTTAATCCAATATTGAGGTCTATATTTTTTTAAAAATAAGGTATTAAGGAATTTCATCTTTAGTGTGTATTCCATGTGAAAGAATGCTAATAAATAAGTTATCTAGCACAGTCCAGAACACTTCTTTTTTTTTTTTTTTTGAGCAGGCTTTTCATTTATATATTTATTTATTTATTTATTTGAAAGAGTCATACAGAGAGGTAGAGACAGAGAGAGAGAGAGAGAGGTCTTACAACCACTGCTTCACTCCCCACATGGCTACAATGGCTGGAGCTGGGCCAATCAGAAGCCAGGTGCCAGGAACTTCTGGGGCTTCCACGTGGGTACAAGGGCCCAAGGACTTGGCCCATCCTCTACTTCTTCAACTTGCTGCACTACAGTGCTGGTACCCAGAATACTTCTTACACTGATCAGAAACAGACTTCTGGTCCGGCGCCACAGCTCACTAGGCTAATCCTCTGCCTGTGGCGCTGGCACACCGGGTTCTAGTCCCAGTCGGGGTGCCGGATTCTGTCCCTGTTGCCCCTCTTCCAGGCCAGCTCTCTGCTGTGGCCAGGGAGTGCAGTAGAGGATGGTCCAAGTGCTTGGGCCCTGCACCTGCATGGGAGACCAGGAGAAGCACCTGGCTCCTGCCATTGGATCAGCGCGGTGCGCCGGCCACAGTGTGCAGGCTGCGGCGGCCATTGGAGGGTGAACCAACGGCAAAGGAAGACCTTTCTCTCTGTCTCTCTCTCTCACTGTCCACTCTGCCTGTCAAGAAAAAAGAAGAAAAAAAAAAAAAAAGAAACAGACTCCTGGGCCAGTGCTGTGGCACAACAGTTAAAGCAGCTGCTTGAAGCACTGGCATCACATATGGAACAGGTTTGAGTCCCAGCTGCTCCACTTCCTATCCAGCTCCTTGTTAATAGCCTGGGAAAGCAATGAGGATTGTCCAAATACTCGGGCCCCTGCACCTACATGGGAGACCCAGATGAAGCTCCTGGCTTCAGCCTGTCCCAGCCCTGGCCGCTGAAGCCATCTGGGGAGTGAACTAGTGGATGGAAGATCTCTCTGACTCTCCCTGTCTCTGTAACTCTTTCAAATAAAAAATAATCTTAAAAAAAGAAGAAGCAGAGCTACCTGAATTTATTCCACAATACTTGTAGTCATAATTGTCATAATTATGGGAGTGATGTTTAGAAAAAGACATAAGGACTGGGAGAAAATAACAGATGTAAACCACACCAAATAGTATGTAAGGAGCAGATGTTTGTCTTAGCAATTAAAGTGTTGGTTGAGATGCCCAAATCCCATATTGGAGTACCAGAGTTCAACACCTAGCCCCAGCTCCTGACTCCAGCTTCCTGCCAATGCAGACCTTGGAAAGCAGCAGACATGACACAGATGACTGGGTCCCTGCCACCCACATGTGAGACCTGGAATAAATTCACAGCTTTAGCTGGACCAGGCCTAGCCATCTGGGGAGTGAACAAGTTAATGAGAGCTTTCTCTGGCTGCCTATCTGTATCCCCTCTCTCAAAAATAAATAAATAAAATGAAAGATAAACTTTTTAAAACAGAACAAAAACATCTGATTGTTCCTCAAGCAGTAAATAATCAATCAAGTAAACATGGTTAAAATTCAATAGCATTAATTCATCTGTACTTCAATCATTACCAGAACAAAAAGTTCATATTATCAGGCACAGTGTTTGTAGTAGGTTATGCCCACACTTGTGACACTGGCATCCCATACTGGAGCACTGGTACAAGTGCCCATTTCTCAGCTTCTGATCAAGCTCTCTGCTAATGTTCCTGAGAAAGCAGCAGATGGCTCAAACATTTGGGACCCTGCCACCTATGTGGGAAATCAATTTGGAGTTCTAGATTCCTGGCTTTGACCTGGACCAGCCTCAGCCATTATAGTTATTTGGGGAGTGAATCAGCAGATGGAAGACCTCTCTGACTCTCCTTGTCACTCTGCCTCTCAAATAAATAAATCCAAAAATTTTTCACATTATCACAGGGAAAAAACCTCTGCCAAACTGTAACAGCTTAGTCAATATTATTTCAGACTGATTTTCCTAAAGAAAAATTCAAACCAAAATTTGTTGTATCTTCTTGTCCATGATCAACTAAATTGTACCCTGTGCTGCTGCCTAGGAAGAACTCACATAAAGAAGCTATACCTATACAAGGGAAATGGAGCTGCCTCAGGGTAACTCAATTCCCATGTATTTCCCAATCTCTAGTCTTCTCCCAGGCCGCTACAGCAGATCCCTAAGACGAGCTGGATGTTCCCATTCCTGCCATCATGCCTATCAGGTAAAAGACCTCCATCCCAACCTTCTTAAATTCCCATTAAAGACCAGCAGGTAAACCCTCCTAAAGCATAATTAAAATCATTAAAAACTTTCCACCATTAACAATTCATAATCCAAGGCTGTCTAAGTGTAGCTTCAATTTTTGTCAGTTTTTCAGTTTTTCTTGTCTGCAACACTGGGCACTACTGCTACTACTGAAAACACTTGTACCTACAGTGTGGGGTTGGGGATTCTAAGCATTCACATATGATTAATTTATTTAATCCTCACGTTAAGCCCATGAAGTAAATATTTAAACTTTTTTTTTTTTTAATGAGCCAGAGGTTCCATAATTTGCATAAGGTCACACTAGGAAGAGATGACTCTAGGACATAAACACAAACACTGTGAATTCAGAGTCTTCCAGCCATTGAGCAAACTACTTTTAGGACAACTGAGAAGAGGCAGCTCACCTTTGTGGGTTCTCTTTTCTTAAGAGATAACCCAAACACAGGGTACTGAAACTAGCATTTGATTGCCAAGCTGCTAAACTAAAATATTTACTAGTTTATCAGCCATGTCCTTAAGAGTTAATGTAAATACACTATCAGTTTGCCTTTTAGAAAGATGGCAAGTTTTTCCATTTTTGTCTGAAAACATGAGTACCTTTTGTTTTTTCCACAGCTACTCAAACTGATCATAACATCTCATAAAAGCAAGCAAATGAAAGCCCTCCCCCCCAAAAAAAAACCCAATTAGAAAATGGGGAAAAAAAAAACCTGAAAAACTTCACTACCAAGAGGCTATATGGATGACAAATAAGCAGATGAATGAGGGCCAACATCATTAGTTATTGTGGAAATGCAAATAAAACTACAATGCAGAGCTGTTGTTGAGCCTAGCAGTTAAGACACCTGCACCCCATTTAGTAGTGTCTGAGTCTGAGCCTCAGCTTCAGCTCCTGAATCCAGTTTCCCACTAAAGAGATTATGGAAGGCAGTGGTCATAGCTCAAGTAATTGAGTGTCTGCCTCCCACATGAGAGACCTGGATGGAGTTCCTGGTTCCTGGTCCACTCCAGCCTAGTCCTTCTACTGAGGGCATTGGGAGAGTGAACCAGCAGATGGGACCTCTGTCTCCTTAAAAACAAAACAAACAAACAAACCCATGGGTGGGCATTTGGCCTGGTGGGTAACATGTCTGTATCCCATACTAGAATGCCTGGGATCAATACCCAGCTCTGCCTCCTTACTCCAGCTTCTCTTTAATGCAAGCCTTAGGAGGCAGCAGTGATAGCTCAAGTGATGGGGTTCTTGCCACCATAGGGGATACCTGGATTGAGCATTGAAGTTGGCCCTTGGTCCAGGACTATTATAGGCATTTAGGGAGTGAATCAGCTAGTGTAAATTTTTTCTCTCCCAATCTGTTTCTCAAATAAATAAATAAAAATAAATGTAGAAGTTAAAAAAATCTATCACATATCACTACATACCTATTAGTGTAGCCAACATGAAAGATAGCAACAACAGCAAATGCTGAGATTAAGAGAAACTGAATCACTCATACATTGTTGACAAGAATGTAAAATGGTACAGTCTCTCTGGGAGACAGGCAGTTTCTTTAAAAGAAAAAAAGAAACTAGATATGCAGCTATCTTATACCTAGGAATCGCACTTCTGGGCATTTATCCTAAAGAAACAAAGACTTATTTTTACAAAAATACCAGAATAAACACTCTTGACCTCAGAATTG